TCTTCGNTATAGGGAGGGACTGGGCTAGGGACGATTGGACCCTAATGGATGAAAATATGGATCTACCTTGGCTGGCCACTGTTCCAAGCATATTGACCAGCTGAAGTTGATGTATGTTGAAAGAATTCATAGACTCTCTTCATATTCGTACCTCCTCTCCTTTCACGTCCTCTTGTACAGTCAGTTGGGTTTGTCAATTATATCGGATGAAACAAGTTTGTATCGAATTTTATCGAATTCGTCTTAAAACATATTATACTCATATATAATTTATTTATTAATTTGTATTATATAAAGTTCGTGTCATGTATAACTAATATATAAACAAATTATGTTATATATTTTTTTTGATTGATTTTACCTATTCTTGATTCATATATTAATCGTGTCGAGTTATGTCCATTCGTTTGTGAAATAGGTAGTTTAAAAAAAATTCAAACCCTATAATTTTGTATTATATTAATAAACTAATTATTGTTTGTTCCTGAAGGCACAAAGTAATAAAAAATTATAAATAATAAATATATTTATATTCATATTTAAAATCAAATCACAAACTTAGAGAATATATAAAATAATTTAAGCATCATTTTGTAGTTGAGGTGAGAGGTGGTGGGCAACAGTGATGGTGGTAGGGGACGGTGATGGTTGTGGTAGGGGACGGTGATGGTTGTGGTAGGTGGCAATGGTGGAGGTGGTAGTGGTGGCGATGGCGGCGAAGGTGGTGGTGGGTGGCAGTGGAGGTGGGGGGGCAGCGACAGTGGTGGTGGTGGCGGCGACGACGGTGACGGTAGAGATAGTGATGAAACGGTGTCAAACACTATTTTTTAAAAAAAAAATATTTATAAGAAATAATTTTTATAAGTACTTTTAAAAAGTCACTACAAACACACGTTTAGGAATCANGGTGGTAGTGGTGGCGATGGCGGCGAAGGTGGTGGTGGGTGGCAGTGGAGGTGGGGGTGGCGGCGACGACGATGACGATAGAGATAGTGATGAGACGGTTTCAAACACTATTTTTTTAAAAAAAATATTTATAAGAAATAATTTCTATAAGTACTTTTAAAAAGTCACTACAAACACACGTTTAGGAATCAATTTTTCCTATTAAATTTAGGGTGTTAATATTAGCCGTTAGATTAACTTTAAAGTAAAATTTAAAGTGATCTCAACCACGAATAGCAAAAGTCATTTTATTTATCTTTTGAGATTTGAATTATAAACTAGTTTATTATATAGACTGTANCTATTAAATTTAGGGTGTTAATATTAGCCGTTAGATTAACTTTAAAGTAAAATTTAAAGTGATCTCAACCACGAATAGCAAAAGTCATTTTATTTATCTTTTAAGATTTAAATTATAAACTAATTTATTATATAGAGTGTGTCATGTTTTGAATACTCCTACAAAGGGTGCAAAAGATGTTACTCTGCTCAGAAGTTAAGTGACACAAGAGTTTCATATATTGTTTTTCCCACTACCAACCTCCCTTTATCCTTGCCTCCACTAAACCGACAACCCCACCCCTTTTTTTTATTGTTACCCACCCTTGACCCTTAGTATATATGTTGGTTTGATGAAATGTTGGATGAATGAAAAAACAAAGGAAAGAAAAATGAGATAGAAAGAAAGACCTAGTTAGGGGTGTTCATGGGCTAGGTCAGACTTGGTCTGCAAAATTTTTTGGTCCGAAACTAAATAGTGTAGGTTCAAACTCTTAGAGCAACTCCAAAAGGTTAGCTAAAACCTTCCTCTTAATTATTTTAGATAGCTTCTCCTTAAAATATGACTCCAACAAGCTAGTTGTCTGCCTACCTATTTTCCATTGCCCTTTTTTCACTTGTTACATCTAGCTAGCCCATATCTCCCTCTAGCCAAACTCTGGTCTCTCTCTGCCTCTCCATCGATTGGCTACAAAACTCAAAANTTAATTATTTTAGATAGCTTCTCCTTAAAATATGACTCCAACAAGCTAGTTGTCTGCCTACCTATTTTCCATTGCCCTTTTTTCACTTGTTACATCTAGCTAGCCCATATCTCCCTCTAGCCAAACTCTGGTCTCTCTCTGCCTCTCCATCGATCACTGCCTCTCTTTGCCTCAAAACTCCATCGATTTGCTCAGTCCATCGACTAATGAGGCTCTACTGACTGAAGGCTCCACCGATATTTTGTATTCAAATCGATTCATGAGAATCGATCAATTTGTAGCTCATCTGCGTATTTTCTGTTCAAATTTGTGGATTTTGATTTGAGAGGCTTATCTGCGCATTTTTTGTTCAAATTTTTTGGGGGTGTTGAGAATCGTGAGAGGGTTTTGATCTGATTCATCGTCAAATTGGTGGGTTTGATCTAGCAACACCCCCCAAAAAATACAGTAAAACTTCATAAAAAAATTTAGCAAAATTTCCAAAAAAATACAGTAAAACCCCAAAAAACTAGCAAAACCCCCCAATTATTTTATGATATTTACTCTTGTAGCCCATAAGTGATTAAATTTGTACAATATATAGTTGAATTGTTACTTTTTGAATTTTATTATTGAAAGTTAGTTAAAGTGGTTTGTTAAAATAGATAGCGTTGTTAGAGTGAATTTGAAAAAATGGTTAGCTAAAATAGATAATAAAATATTTAAATATATTTTGAGTAGCTATTTTATATAACATTGTTGGAGATGCTCTTACCAAATGAGTTATTAGGTGGGTCGAGGCAGACTTCAAATAGGAGTAGGCTACTTGCAACCAAACTTGCGAGCTTATTGAGGGAGCCTGTGGGTAGGCTTTCTAGGCGGGCTTGTTAAACGAGGTTGCTCGTAGGCTTTTTTATATATAATTTTATTTAAAAATAATACATATTTTTGTAACTTAATATTTGTATAAATTATATTTTTGAATCAAAATGAATAAAATCAAATAATAAATAATTATATTTTTAATTAAGAGATGAACTACATCTAATAGAATGAATACATTTCAATTAAGTTGAAACCTACTCACTTATCTATCATTTTATCAAAACTTGTATGTTTAATACATGAAAAAGAAAATAAGACACTATTTATAGTATCTAAATTTTTAAAACTTCAAATTTCGATATTGGGAGACTTATTTCAAAATTTCAAATTTAATGATCTAAAAATATAACTTTTTTTCAAATGAAGGGCAGGCGGGCGAGCGGGCTAACTCTTTGGCAGGGTTTTTTCGGGCGGGTTTTTAGGCCGAGTAATGGGTTTGGGACAAATTCAAGCCCTCTTTTTAAGGATATTAGATTCGACTTATTCGATTTGGGACAAATTCAAGCTCTCCTTTTAAAGATATTAGATTCGGCCTCGAATAGACCAATTATCAAGTCTACCAACTTTTAGTAGGGGTGCAACTTGAGTTGAGCAACCTGATTTCAACCCGAACTCAATCCAAAAAAAATAGGGTTTGAGCAAGGATTTTTAATATTTGGGTTGGGCTTGAGTCAATAAATTCAACCCAAATTCAATTTGAATTGGGCTTGGGTTAAGACATTGGGTTCACGGGTTCAACCCGAACCCGACAAATTAAAAAAAATGATATATATATAAAGCATTAGCACTGATTTTTTATTTTTGGTGTCAAAGCAGATCAATAATCGTGCACTATTATGAATGAAATATATGAATTATATCTTATGAATTTGTAATTATGTTAAAAATTTGGTTAAAATTATTGGTTGTTAATTTATGTAAATATTATATAATATATGTATTAGGTTTAAAACAACAAGTTTATTTGAAGTTCTATTCAAACTCAACCCGAATTGAACCTGTAAAGTAACCCAAAATCATTAATTTGAATTCAACCCGAGCTCACCTGAATTAAACTCGGACACTGCTCGAGTTGAGTTCCTCAACCCTAAGTAAGATTAGAATTAAAAATTATATACCTAGAGTTAAACTTAAATTGACTATCTAACCTATCTAATCCACCCGAATTACGCCCTTAAATTTTAGATCGGATAATAAGACCAGTGATTAACCTGAGTCATCCACGCCCTAAACCTAGTGGACCAAAAGGCCACCAACTTCAAGAACATGCTAGTCTAGGCCCAGAGAAGTATGTCTAACCTATAAATGAGATTTGGATTAAAAAAAAACAACCTACAAATGAGATCTTCTAGCCTAGAGACTACTCTCTAAAGTCTTTCAAATTTATTGAATATATTCTTTAACCTTTATTGTGGCCAAAGTCTGAGGCCTATATTCATACATCTTGTAATCATGTATTTGTTATGATTCAATGTAAACCTACAATATAAGTCATGAAATTGTGAATCCGGTCCTAGATAACAAAAATTGAACGAGGTAATGCGATGGTAGGTTAATAAATTGGGAGCCATGGAAGTGCAGAGGAGATGATGGCCATGGTCGTGCGAACGAGATGGTATCCATGGTGGTGGGTTTGTGTGGGTAAACTTCAGAGAGAGAGAGAGAGAGTATATTGATTGATCATTATGAAAAGGGTTATCAACGGATCAGATCTTGATACATTTAAATTCGAGTTTCGAATTCGAACCCTTTATCTAACGAATTTCAAAATTTTAATTCGTATCCGTTAATAATTAGATATCAAATCCTCATTATTTGATCCGATTTGAAATTTTGAATCCCAATAATATTTTATAAAAAAAATTAATAATTTTACCAAATTTAAGTTAACTTTCAATTTAATTTAATCAACCAATTATTGTACTCTATAATTTTTATTTAATTTCATATCAATCTCATTAAGTATGTATGTATGTATTGTAATTTCTCTTAATTAAATAGATATGTTTATTAGATTAAATTTATGTGTATCTAAATCTAAGTCCGTTTAAAAAAAATTAATCAGATTCGAATAAATAGATTAAAATATTAATTCAATTGTGGAAGTGAGTGTTTGATTTCCTTGGATCACGCAAGAATTCTTCGTATGATTGAATCTTTTTGTATTCGAATTAAAATTTCCTATGTTTCCAAGTTTACTGGTGAAGTATGGAGGTGAGGGTGATTAAACAAATAGGTGAATGGGGTGGAGAGAAAGAAGAGAGACATGTATTTCGGTTAGAAATGTCAATGTATGATAGATGAATTAATAATATATAAAATTAAAGAATTTGAATATTTTTTAATTAATAAACGTATAATGTATGAACAAAATATCTTTTTGATATAAACTCACTAAAGTCCATCGCAACTTGACACAATTTATGGGTCTCAATGTAATTTACCCAAATTAAATGGGCCCACGCAAAGATGTCTTAAACCCTCTATCATTGCAGGGGGTTTCTTCGTACCCCAATCGTCTCTCTTAGCGTCCCTCCCCCTTCGAGGCCTCCTTGTATTAGCTTCTTCCCTGTAAATCTCACCTCCATTCGCTTTTCTCACTACCCAATGGCGAACAAAAGACAGAAACAAGCTAGGAAGCGATATAAAGAAGCACACCCAGAACTGTTCCCAAAGCCAGAGCCAACACCACCCAAAGATCCAAATAAGAAGAAAAAGAAAACCAAATTCAAGCGGAAAAGAGCTGATTCCAAGGAGCCCCATGATCGAAACAACCACAAAAAATCAACTTTTAGAAAACATCCACTTAGAGTCCCTGGTATGAAGCCTGGTGAGAGCTGTTTTATATGTAAAGCTCAAGACCATATTGCCAAACATTGCCCTGAAAAAGCTCAATGGGAAAAGAACAAGGTTTGATTTCTACTGATGATTTTCGTTCTATTTTCGATTTACTTCATCTGGACGTTGTGTAAATCAAAGAATAAGCGACTGTGTTCTTCAATATCATGTATATCTTCCTCCGTTAGTAATTTATTCAACAAAGAAAGATGATATGAACTAATTTCTTGTAACTTTTGTGGGTTTTATGTTTTTAATTGTTTAGGAATGAAAGAAGCGGTGGAATGTATCTGAATCTATGTTAATATTGTGATGGAGTGCACTGATTGTGGTGGTGTTTGGTGTTGTGTGAGTGCAGATATGTTTGTTTTGCCGGCATCGTGGCCATAGTCTCAAAAATTGCCCAAAAAATAGTGAAGAGATTATGGATACGAAATTCTGTTATAATTGTGGGGCAACTGGGCATTCTCTGGCTATATGTCCGCAACCTCTTGAAGATGGTAATTCACCTACTGACAACCTATGTTATCTTTGCTTGATTCTTTAGGAAGTATGTTGTTTTTGATATTCATTATATGAATTAGATTCCCTTGTTCAGTTAACTGCCATTTATTGATGTAATTATGACATTGTGACTCATGGCGCGGGTGAAACCAAAATTTCAGAACTAAGGGGCCAAATCAAGAGTGTAAGAGTTATTAATTTAAAGGGGGCACACCAGAAACTTATTTTTCAGGTTAAAGGGGAAACAAACAATTTCTGAAACTTTGGTTTTGTTCCGTTAACTGCCATTTATTGATGTAATTATGACATAGTGACTCATGGGCGTTAGTGCNAAACAGTGATTTCCTTGTGTTCTTCGTTTACCGCCGCGTCAATTGCCTAAGCTTGGTTTCTAAGAACACGTAACATGTGTCTGGGAAGCATGATTGAGAGATTCCTTTGACAGTCTCTGGGAAATAAATTAGTTGGGTCTAATTATCTAAATTACGTGGATTATGGATTTCCTTTTCTTGGCATCTGTTTTGGCATTCTTCCGACCTTAGAGAGAAGTTGGATGAAAGGCCAGATGGTTTTTCTCCTTATATTCTGCCTATATGGCATGGTTTCGTTAATGTCGTCTTAATGTTAAAATGAAAGGGTTTCTTGTATATATTTACATTTCTTTTTAGCTGGAAACTAGAAAATATAGTTCATATTTAAAAGTTTGTGACATTAAATATAGCTATAGCTGGAAAGGTGTTGCTTGTTCTGCCCAATCATTGTGGGCATTTCTTTGTGCAAGTTGTAGCATTCATTCCTAATCATTTATAAAGTTGGGTTGATTGGCCTACCAACTTACGTTAAAAAGATTGAGGATCAGTTTTGGCTTGTAATTTTTGTGTTTGCTTGTTGTTTCTTTCTTTTCTTATTTTTTGAATCACATCTTGAGCTCTACCTTCAAGTTCCTCCAAAAAAAAAAAGTTATATCTTTTTCCTTGAGTTCATCATAACTGCTTATGGTTTGCACTGTAACCAATGCTAATACTGAAATTGTTGTAGAAATAAATGCTTGAGTGTGGTTGATGAAAAAATTGATGGATATGTTAACTAAGTCGTGATTACACAGGCTTTAGGGCCAGCATAAATTTGCTCACTAACAAAATGGACCGTCTAATTGTCTTGACTTGTCAGCAGGCTCAGAACATCAAGTGAAATTGAGCCAATATGGTGATTCCTTGTTAGAATTTGTCATGATTATCTGACTTCTCTTTTCAATGATGTAGGGGGAACAAAATTTGCAAATTGCTTTATTTGTAATGAGCGTGGCCACTTGAGTAAGAATTGCCCCCAGAATACTCGTGGGATCTATCCGAAGGTACAATTCTGTTATCAGTTTGACGTTTTACTTTATTAGAATATCGAGCACTAGATTTTTATGGTTCATGTGAGCGTTATAGGAATTTAATGTTGATGTTTTAAGCCATACATTGCACAATAAAGATTTGACTATACTATGTTTCTTTACCACAGGTAGTATGACACATTTCTTATTTTTTGTCCATTTGTAGGGTGGTTGTTGCAAAATTTGTGGTGGTGTGACACATTTGGCCAAAGATTGTCCTAATAAAAACAGCAAAGGACCTAACGCATTTAGTGAAGTTGGTAAAACATGTAAGTTCTCAGTATTGCATCAGTGTTTGTCTTGTGTTCTGCTATTTATAATTCAATTTACACCTTGAAGAACTTCTATTTCAGTCAACAAGTCATCAAAACAGGTTACCCAACAATTGGGTGTTGCATTATGTTCACTCATTTTTTTGGTTATTTGTTTCTACGGAAAAAGAAGGAAAATAATGTGGCAGCCTAGAATGATAATCGATGACTTCTTCCTTCTGGTGACATGGATTTTCTTTCTTGTGCATTAGATGTTCATGGTCATCTGCACCACAAAGGTGCTAATTCGCACTCTTGTAGACATATTGCTCTTTGTCAAAAAAAGAAAAAAGAAAAAAAGACTTGTAGCTCTTGAATAGAGCATGTTGTTTGATCTGGCTTGCTTGGATTTGTTTAGCCAGCGATTTAATTCAGTTTGTAAATGCATTTAATTTACTCAAAAAAAGATTAAGCTTAGAGATAAGCATTAATTATAGATAAGATGGATAATAATAACTGATGCAAACCAATCCTGGAATTCATTTACATTTGGCAAGGCCACTTGAACTATCTGACTTTGGAGTCCGGGGGTGTAAAATTTTTGTAAATATTTGGGAATTCGATCTTGGAGGAACAATTTTGTTGCGCTTTTTACCATGTCCCCATATTATTCTAATAAATGGTGAAGCAGGTTCAAAATGTGTTTTTGTTTGTTTACTTGGCACTTGGCATCCAACGTATACTTAAAACTCTTGGAATTTCCTTGTTTCCAGCAACTGAATTCGAAGAAAGGCCAAGAGGAAAAGTCACCAAGTTCTTCAGCGGTGACGATCTTGAGGATGACTTTACGACAGAGGACACAAACAGTGATAAAAAAGCTAAGTCCGACGAGTCTAAAGGTGGCGCTGTGTCTGATTTGAAAGGCAGTTCTCTGAAATTAAAGAAGAAACAGGGTGACAAAGTTGTGAACTTTTTGGGTTGATAACTTAAGATCTTTGGATGGCATACATTAGAGTTGTTTCTGATTTGCCATAAGCCGTGGTTGCAATGTTTTAGAATAATTTTATGTTGTATTGTTTTTTTTATCTTTCTTTTTGTGAAGACACTAGACGTTTTTTTATCTTACAATTTTGTTTCTGTTTTCATTTTTGGAGATTATGTTCTTTTAGGCAGGAAAAATAGGAAAAAAAGTTAACGACGTCTGACTTTGAAAATGCTATTAATTGGTTGTCCAAAAGTGGGGCCATGTTTGTAACATTGTTGCGAGGGTGTCAATTCGTATTGTATCATATGCGTGTTGTTCTTATTTGTGTGGTGTTTGTATCAATATCGACGAAAAAAAAATATATCTTTAATATGTTAGAAGTGTTAAATATTAATGCAACGAGTTTATTATACATATTTGTCAATTATGTCAATTTGGAAATTATATTGTATTGGGTTCGTGTCGTATTTTTCATTGATGGGTTAGATTGATACCCCATTCTNGACGAAAAAAAAATATATCTTTAATATGTTAGAAGTGTTAAATATTAATGCAACGAGCTTATTATACATATTTGTCAATTATGTCAATTTGAAAATTATATTGTATTGGGTTCGTGTCGTATTTTTCATTGATGGGTTAAATTGATACCCCATTCGNTTTATTATACATATTTGTCAATTATGTCAATTTGGAAATTATATTGTATTGGGTTCGTGTCGTATTTTTCATTGATGGGTTAGATTGATACCCCATTCTTTGCTTACGGCCAGATGGCTGGACCAATTGGGATTGATCTTCTTGTATTAGATTTGGACCGCCTTTATCAATCTTGACAGTAGTTTCGGTTNTGAAAGGGTTTCTTGTATATATTTACATTTCTTTTTAGCTGGAAACTAGAAAATATAGTTCATATTTAAAAGTTTGTGACATTAAATATAGCTATAGCTGGAAAGGTGTTGCTTGTTCTGCCCAATCATTGTGGGCATTTCTTTGTGCAAGTTGTAGCATTCATTCCTAATCATTTATAAAGTTGGGTTGATTGGCCTACCAACTTACGTTAAAAAGATTGAGGATCAGTTTTGGCTTGTAATTTTTGTGCTTGCTTGTTGTTTCTTTCTTTTCTTATTTTTTGAATCACATCTTGAGCTCTACCTTCAAGTTCCTNTTTACTATCAATCAAATGGCATCGATAGATTTTTAATTAGTAAATTTGGTTAACCAAACTTGATATTGGTCTTTATTCATCTCCACGTTGGAAGGGGTAGGATTGGTCATGCATAANTTGTATTAGATTTGGACCGCCTTTATCAATCTTGACAGTAGTTTCGGTTTACTATCAATCAAATGGCATCGATAGATTTTTAATTAGTAAATTTGGTTAACCAACCTCGATATTGGTCTTTATTCATCTCCACGTTGGAAGGGGTAGGATTGGTCATGCATATGCAGGCACGCCAATAGGATAACGTGGAAGAAGAAAAAATGTTGGTTGTGGACACGATCGGTCTATGGCTAAGACAATTCTCAACCCGTATTTTCTCTCTCGAAATTCTATTCTTCCCCGCATTTTTCTCTTCTTTTTTAAAAATAGCCAAACTTCTCGTGTCTTCCCATATTCAAGGATCTCTTCCCTCTCCCATAATCACATCTCTCTTTCTCCTATTTTTTTCTTTTTGGTTTCACAGGGTACCTACACCAAATTGGAGGACACCATGGTACACACCTCTCTCTCTCTCTCATTTTGATTTGATTATGTATTGATTGATGAATGAGAGAGAATGATTTCGAGATTTGTTTAGATGTAAAATCTTGTATTTGCACATATGTTTGTCGATGTATAATGACGGGAAGAGAGATTTAAACTGGAGTTTCCCCNAGAATGATTTCGAGATTTGTTTAGATGTAAAATCTTGTATTTGCACATATGTTTGTCAATGTATAATGACGGGAAGAGAGATTTAAACTTGAGTTTCCCANGATTGATGAATGAGAGAGAATGATTTCGAGATTTGTTTAGATGTAAAATCTTGTATTTGCACATATGTTTGTCAATGTATAATGACGGGAAGAGAGATTTAAACTGGAGTTTCCCCAAATTATAACTAAATGTGGTTCTTTAACTTGCATATATGTTGATATGTATAAATCATTTTGACATTTCCTTTAGACCCAAGTATCGATTGAAATCCATACACAAAAATTTTCATTTTTTCTTCTTCCTTGAAAGGCTTTTCTTATACCGTACTGCATCAAAATAATCAACGAAAAAATAGTCGTTTCTTTAAACAAAATGAAAAAATGAGGCTTCAATATTTCTTTAGTTTTTATCGGTAAGTATTTATTTCTGTCGTGTCAGATTTGTAACACGTGTTTTTTCTTTTCCTTCTTATTATTCTCCCTTTTTAATAAANAATATTTCTTTAGTTTTTATCGGTAAGTATTTATTTCTGTCGTGTCAGATTTGTAACCCGTGTTTTTCCTTTTTCTTCTTATTATTCTCCCTTTTTAATAATTTCAAATTTTTTAGGCGAATTCGGCATCTGGAATGGCTGTGCTAGATGATTGCAAGCTGAAGTTCTTAGAATTAAAAGCAAAGAGAAACTATCGCTTCATTATCTTCAAGATTGAGGGTCAAGAAGTGGTGGTGGAGAAGCTTGGAAGTCCAGCGGAAAGCTACGAGGATTTCACTGCCTCTTTGCCAGCCGATGAGTGCCGTTATGCTGTCTTTGATTTCGATTTCATCACCGATGAGAATTGTCAGAAAAGCAAGATCTTCTTCATTGCTTGGTAAAATAACAATCTTTTTTAATTAAAGAAATGGGCTTATAATTATTCACATTTGTATCTAAAATTAAAATTATGCCAAATATGCAATTAGACATTGCATTTATTCATAAATTTAGCACACTTAGACATGATGAATAGAAAAGGTTGAACAAGGTTCCCGCAAGTAAAGGGTACAGGAGAGGAAAGTGAGTGATAGACAGTCTTACTCCCATTTTAGAGGTTGATTTTCAGGCTCAGACTCACAACACATCGATTAGTGTATAAAACATGGGAAAATGTTGTTTGTATGATGTCAAGGACTTCATTTAGGTGATATGAATGATGTCTTAGCTTATGAATTCCCTAGTTATTCCAAGGGACGACAAATCCAGAACAGAACAAAGGGAAGGTCAAAATCTAAAGACCCATTTGGGCGTAAGAATCGTATTCGCCACACCACAGAAAGGTGTGGTTAAATCATAAGCATAGAACTTCTAATCGTATATTTTTTTCGGTTGTTTTCAGGTCACCAGATACATCAAGGGTGAGAATGAAGATGGTGTATGCCAGCTCCAAGGATAGATTCAAGAGAGAACTGGATGGAATTCAAGTTGAGTTGCAAGCAACAGATCCTAGTGAAATGAGCCTTGACATTGTCAAAAGCCGAGCTCTCTGAACTTTGTCCTGTTTTCCTTTGATCTTCAACCTCAACTTACTGTTGCATTTTGTGAGAGCTGTACTTTCTGGTTTTGGTTTCAATGTCATCCTAAAGCTTGTAGTATAAATGTAATATTATCCCTCCCTGTATCAGTCTTAACACTTTCGTATTTTTCATGTTTTAGTATGTTTTTTCTTAACATGTCTGATCTTACTTTCTTAATCCTGAGGTGTGTGGATCAATTAGTGATGGGCTTTTCGCTACACGAGAGGTCCCAAGATCAACCGATGACCTGAACTGGTCAAGATTGATGAACCCTCCTTTCCAAAACTGTAAAAAGCGATTTTGCAACAGGAAATGCAATGCAGGATCCAAAAATAACAAAACAAAAATGCTGAATTCTTAATCAACAAAAGGTCAATAGAAGTTCTCGGATCCCCTTCTATTATTAGTTCTCAAGAAGTTAGTTTACATGGTACAATAATTGATATGTGCATCATAATAAGCTACATTCATCTATAAACAAATACAGAAATATATATTTTAGAAGGGAAAAAATGGTCTCTAGATCTGCTTATTTTGATTCTCCCAGTACTGTTTCTCCCATTTCTCTACTTGCTTTATTGAATTTTCCTTTCTCATAAGTATAGAACGAAGAGTGACAGTATCATAGGGAGGATGAATGGTGCAAGGGTCAATACCTTTTGGACCTTTGACTACAGATTCAATCATGAACTTCTTCCTTAACCCTTCGGCAGGGCAAGCCATTGTCTCAGAACAAAGTTCCACCNGACAGTATCATAGGGAGGATGAATGGTGCAAGGGTCAATACCTTTTGGACCTTTGACAACAGATTCAATCATGAACTTCTTCCATAACCCTTTGGCAGGGCAAGCCATTGTCTCAGAACAAAGTTCCACTNAACATCATATGTAACCTCATTCTTCAATGGTCTTGCCTATGATTAGACTGCCAAATGCTTCTAAGTTTTAGAAGCAAGTCATGGCGTCAATTAGATCAACATCATTTATGGCCTTCATTCATCAATGACCCTCCAAATGATTAGACAAGACAACCAGATACTTCTAAGTTTTTAAAGAAAACCACACAGAAGCCACATGAATAGAACAGAAGCTAAGTTGTTTCTCCGCTATCTCACACCATTGATATTTTCTTGTTTTTTGCGCAACAAACAATGCTGCCATGCTCACAATTAATAAGTAGAAAAACTCCACTCACCGTATCAACAAAAAATGAGATCCAAAAAACAGATGTTACCTGAGCATATACACGAGCACCCCAATCCTCTTTGTCAGAGACATTACACTTGAGCAAATCCATCCTGGTTTCAGCAACTGTCGGATTGCCCTTCCAGTAAGCATAAGGTTCCCTATCCATCCATTTAGTCCTCTTGTTGCCTTCCTTTAGCTCCTCCAATAATGCCCCCCATGGCTTTATATTAATTTCAGGCCTAACAATTCATTAAATAAAAAACAAATATCCATTACATAAGAGTATCCATTATATCATATCTTAGCTTCATGTATCATATTCTATATTTCGTAGCAAGGTCTTCAATGACATCCTAATTTTCAGAGAGAAAGAATGTGGGACCCACGATAAAAGTTCGGGACTTGAACCTTACACCAAGAGACACTAACCACTAGGTCATTCCTTTGCTCTCCACTTATTCTACTTTAATGTCATTAAAAATTACTTATTTAAACTTACTCCAAACAAACCCATCATATAATCAATGATTATACTAACTACTATATTACATATATAACATCAATCTCATTGTACACTGTTGCATTCAATGAGATTGGATAAGCAGTAAAGCTTAGAGGCCTTACCATCCCCAAAAGGACCAGTCTGGGAAAACAATGTCCAAAGTGGCATCATCACCGCAATAACGAAACAACGGTGGTGGGGCCGGCGCATTGGGCCCACGATAGGACTTTGTCCTAATTACCGGCCAGTCAACGCAATCAAACATAAGCTCAAGATCAGGCACTTTCCCGGGGTACCTCCGTAACAACTGTAGGATCCCCCACAGCGTAAAAACATCTCTGCTCTGAAACGACTTCTGAAATGTCTCCACGTAAGCCCTCCCATTCACTATCACAAGTCTAAAATTGGCCGTCCGATTGGCACTCTCCACTATTTCCCTCGTGATTCCCGTGTCCCTCCATGGCCGTAGATCTTCGTAGATCCAACGGAAATAATCGGGACAAGTGGACGGTGTCGAAGAAGAGTCAGGATCTTCCGGATGAAACTTTGATGGGTAATAATCAGCTGGACAGGTCCGCCTGAGGTTACCCAATGAGCAGTTCAGTGGAATTTCAATTTTCTTCCGGGGCTTTTTGGGGATTTCATCAATTTTGTGAGGGTAGCTGTGGGTTTTTGTCGTGGTTAGTATTGATTTCTCTGGGGAATTGCCAGCAATGGACTATAATACAAAACAAAAACACACCATGTTAGCATCGATCATAATCATTTCAAAAAATTAAATTATAAATCGCGTGGTATGGTAGGGTAAAGAATTTTTAGTACCATAGACTTATATCTCAAGAATAATATAAATACAATAATAGTAATAATACTTGAACTGATTTGTTGGTAGAATTGATTGTTTTAATTTTCTTAAATACTATTCAATATTAGGACCTAAGGTAGTAGATTTGGTTTTAATATTCTCTAGTACCTCCTAAATATAGTAAAACAATCAATTCTACCAACAAATCTGTTTAACAATAGAATTAATAGAAGAATATTAAAACCACTTAATTGGCTGGGGGACCCACCATTAATGACTTCCATCTAAGGACATGTGATGTGTCACCCACTAATACTTTCAAGTTTAAAGGTGTTGGAAAAGCCTTTTCATACTCTGTCGGCGTATGTTAGAGAAATGCAAATTGGTCCGAAATAAATACTTCGTAAGAAAGGGGGACAAGAAAGGCACGTTCTTTACTAAAATGACGTCGTTTGAGTCGATTTAAAATTTATATTTTATACCTTTAAATATTAAATTTTTAACATTACAAGTATTAAAAATATTATTATAATATAATTTTTCTGATAATACCAACAAGAATTAATAAAAAAAAATTAAATTATAATATTTTTGATATATTTAAGGTGCAATATAAAATAAAATTTTAAAATTNCTGCTTTTTGAGGTATACTCGGCTTGAATTTCAACAGCTTAGCATATTCATTTAAGAGATGGAACATGTAGTCATACACATAGTCCATCTTCAATTCGTCTAGAATAAAATTGCTTGCTGTCTTCCCAATGGACCGTGCCTGTTAAATCCATGGGTAAAAGATAGGATATTACTACGAAATGATAAAGAAAGTGAAAAGTAGGAAGCTACTTGACCTTTCATTGCAAGAATATCTTGAACCCTGTTACTTGTTCCCGGTTCTGCAACTTATTACTGATGAATGTGACGTGTAACAACAAGCATGAGATAGACCAACATATGCTATGCCTGATCGAGATAGCCACATTGTAAAACAATCAAGAAAACAACAAGGTGATTTCAAAGTATATCGCGCATACCCTTCATGCTTAAGTTTTTTTTTTTTTGTCTGACCAACAAAATCCGAACCATTTGGTCTACAGAATCATTCAATCACTATTGATTCAATTGTATGCAGTGTTTATGCTAGAGATGTCAGCTAAAGAGATTACCTTTTGCTTGTGGCTATTGCCCCACTTCACAGCAAACTTAAGGGATCTGCATTTGTCGTCATCCCTTATTGGCCAGTAGTGGTGCACTGGCATCAAACTTCTGGTGAAGAAATCATAGTAACGGGGTTTAACTATTAAGGAAACAGAATCACAGGCAAGAATGTACTTTTCACTCACTGACCACGCAGATCCTTCGATATAAATTTTATATCTGTTAAAATTAGGCAAAAGGGAAATTAAAACGAGTAGTTACTGAAATAAGCAATCAGATAAAGGGAAAAAATGGAAGGAAAGGGAAGGTGTGCACACACCCATGAGGACAGTGAAAAGAGATGAACATAAGGGTGATTCTTCTACCTGTGAATGCATTGGCTTGCCAAGTCTGATTGCTTGTAACCTTGCTGTGATTCTCGAATCCAGTCCTGAAAAAATCACCAAATCCATTAATAATTTATGGTTCTTATAGTTCTAGCTTAGATTCAGTTGTCACGAATCAATCATTCAAGATGAGCAATTTTCTGAAAAAATGGGGATATCATAGTGAGCAGTAGGAGCATATTTTTTCTTTTTGAATTGGAGGAGTATATTACTTCTGTACCAACATATTTAAGAATCTAATGTGTACAACTAGAATAACCTACCCTCAAACAATTGTCTTGGATGATGTCCTCTATTGTCAAGGATGCAGAGGTTGATTTCTTGCGATAAAAACTTCACTTATAAACCAGGGCAATGAAGCTTTTTGTGACCTAAAATCTTTCTTGGATGCTGATCATAATTGCCCCAGGCTCTTAGAACTACGCCAAACGACTTGTTAAGTTGTTATGACACTATAGGTATATGTACTCGGGGACAAGATTGCTTGAGCATAATGGTCGTTCAAATATCGAGGACAATTGTTTTATTGTTGAAATCTTGAACACAAGATGTTATAGAAGAAAGCATAAATGTGATGTGTTCAAAAGGATGGGTAGATCTTGGATTAGATCAACATCATATGTAACCTCATTCTTCAATGGTCTTGCCTATGATTAGACTGCCAAATGCTTCTAAGTTTTAGAAGCAAGTCATGGCGTCAATTAGATCAACATCATTTATGGCCTTCATTCATCAATGACCCTCCAAATGATTAGACAAGACAACCAGATACTTCTAAGTTTTTAAAGAAAACCACACAGAAGCCACATGAATAGAACAGAAGCTAAGTTGTTTCTCCGCTATCTCACACCATTGATATTTTCTTGTTTTTTGCGCAACAAACAATGCTGCCATGCTCACAATTAGTAAGTAGAAAAACTCCACTCACCGTATCAACAAAAAATGAGATCCAAAAAACAGATGTTACCTGAGCATATACACGAGCACCCCAATCCTCTTTGTCAGAGACATTACACTTGAGCAAATCCATCCTGGTTTCAGCAACTGTCGGATTGCCCTTCCAGTAAGCATAAGGTTCCCTATCCATCCATTTAGTCCTCTTGTTGCCTTCCTTTAGCTCCTCCAATAATGCCCCCCATGGCTTTATATTAATTTCAGGCCTAACAATTCATTAAATAAAAAACAAATATCCATTACATAAGAGTATCCATTATATCATATCTTAGCTTCATGTATCATATTCTATATTTCGTAGCAAGGTCTTCAATGACATCCTAATTTTCAGAGAGAAAGAATGTGGGACCCACGATAAAAGTTCGGGACTTGAACCTTACACCAAGAGACACTAACCACTAGGTCATTCCTTTGCTCTCCACTTATTCTACTTTAATGTCATTAAAAATTACTTATTTAAACTTACTCCAAACAAACCCATCATATAATCAATGATTATACTAACTACTATATTACATATATAACATCAATCTCATTGTACACTGTTGCATTCAATGAGATTGGATAAGCAGTAAAGCTTAGAGGCCTTACCATCCCCAAAAGGACCAGTCTGGGAAAACAATGTCCAAAGTGGCATCATCACCGCAATAACGAAACAACGGTGGTGGGGCCGGCGCATTGGGCCCACGATAGGACTTTGTCCTAATTACCGGCCAGTCAACGCAATCAAACATAAGCTCAAGATCAGGCACTTTCCCGGGGTACCTCCGTAACAACTGTAGGATCCCCCACAGCGTAAAAACATCTCTGCTCTGAAACGACTTCTGAAATGTCTCCACGTAAGCCCTCCCATTCACTATCACAAGTCTAAAATTGGCCGTCCGATTGGCACTCTCCACTATTTCCCTCGTGATTCCCGTGTCCCTCCATGGCCGTAGATCTTCGTAGATCCAACGGAAATAATCGGGACAAGTGGACGGTGTCGAAGAAGAGTCAGGATCTTCCGGATGAAACTTTGATGGGTAATAATCAGCTGGACAGGTCCGCCTGAGGTTACCCAATGAGCAGTTCAGTGGAATTTCAATTTTCTTCCGGGGCTTTTTGGGGATTTCATCAATTTTGTGAGGGTAGCTGTGGGTTTTTGTCGTGGTTAGTATTGATTTCTCTGGGGAATTGCCAGCAATGGACTATAATACAAAACAAAAACACACAATGTTAGCATCGATCATAATCATTTCAAAAAATTAAATTATAAATCGCNTATTGATTTCTCTGGGGAATTGCCAGCAATGGACTATAATACAAAACAAAAACACACCATGTTAGCATCGATCATAATCATTTCAAAAAATTAAATTATAAATCGGGTGGTATGGTAGGGTAAAGAATTTTTAGTACCATAGACTTATATCTCAAGAATAATATAAATACAATAATAGTAATAATACTTTAACTGATTTGTTGGTAGAATTGATTGTTTTAATTTTCTTAAATACTATTCAATATTAGGACCTAAGGTAGTAGATTTGGTTTTAATATTCTCTAGTACCTCCTAAATATAGTAAAACAATCAATTCTACCAACAAATCTGTTTAACAATAGAATTAATAGAAGAATATTAAAACCACTTAATTGGCTGGGGGACCCACCATTAATGACTTCCATCTAAGGACATGTGATGTGTCACCCACTAATACTTTCAAGTTTAAAGGTGTTGGAAAAGCCTTTTCATACTCTGTCGGCGTATGTTAGAGAAATGCAAATTGGTCCGAAATAAATACTTCGTAAGAAAGGGGGACAAGAAAGGCACGTTCTTTACTAAAATGACGTCGTTTGAGTCGATTTAAAATTTATATTTTATACCTTTAAATATTAAATTTTTAACATTACAAGTATTAAAAATATTATTATAATATAATTTTTCTGATAATACCAACAAGAATTAATAAAAAAAATTAAATTATAATATTTTTGATATATTTAAAGTGCAATATAAAATAAAATTTTAAAATCCATTAAGGTTCAAAGTGCCAAAAGCCCTTTAAGAATACGAAAACCACATTAATCTTTGTAGAAATAACCTTAGCAATAACATTTTTTATTTTGAGACCTTGTGAAAAAAAAAATCTAGAATTTCTTGAGCTGAACAATGTTGGACACAACTGAGCTTAATAATAATGGTGGATACCCAGTGGGTAAAGTAGAGTGTAAAGAGAAGAAACTTACTGTAACAGTGGTGTCGAGCAAGCGCGTGGAAATTAACGCGCCGAATAAGATGATGACGAAGAAGATGATCAATCGTGAAGTGCTTGAAGGAGGCTTCCATGATATTAGAGGAAGCCAGATCGTGTCTGTAAAATGCCTGTAAAACCCAGATCCGTAAAAGATAAACCTCTGAATTCCCTGTGTGTTCTCTCTCATTACCTCTGGCTCTGGCTCTGGCTCTGGGTGCAACAGTAACTCTGACAAAAGTACCCCTCCACTTGTAAGTAACTCAGAATTTCTTGAAACTTCGAATCAGAACTGTGTATGAGTGGAAATAAAAGTATAATTAGGGATCTGGGTATAAATATACGAAGGATCAAGGACGAGGTTACTTTCTTAAATGCTTGGAGCTGATAGTCAAAGCCAAGAAGTTCGAAACTTTTTTTGCCTACTTCGTTAATTGAGCAGAACCCACCTAGAACGAAGAAAAGAGAGAAAGAGAGAGAGAGAGAGAGAGAGAGATGTATTTTTTGACTTGGGTTACATGGGCGTTGGACAAAAGGGTGTTGATTAAAGGATCAGAGAAGGTCATGTAATGAAGCCGACCGAATCAGCGAAACTGTTCACCAACTCAATTATCTTTTTACTTCGCTTGCCAACTAACGTTTGGTTTGTGACGAGAAAAAAGTAAATAGAGAGGGAGAGAGAAAGAGAAAGGGGCTATAATGGTAGCTCCGACCATGAGAGTGGGACACGAAGAAAGAAACAGCCACAAAACAACAATAATACACTTGCTCGCGCCGTGTGTTTTAGGGTATTAGAATTTAGAGTTTTGGTCATTAATTAATATTTGCTAATTATAGTTGACAGGAGTGCGAAGCAAAGCAGTAATTTTAGGAGGCTCACATGTATGTCAAGGAAATTCTGAGCAAACACAACCTTGGCCTATGTTAAGCAATGATACTTGAACTTGATCCAATGTATTATAATCAATTGAAATAACGGTAGGTCTCACTATTTTTTGAGTCTGCTTGGTAGTAAGAATCAAAAGTAAAAAAAATACGCTTTCTAATATTCAAAGAAATAAAATAGAAATGATATATTTTCTTTCTTTTGTATTTGGTACGATGGATGAAAAATAAAAATAACTAATTTTTTTTTTCTTAACTAAGATTAGGGGTAACAATTTAATCGTATCGTGTCAGATTCGTGTTAAGTCATTATGAGTTTGTGTCGAACATTAGTCAAACTTAACTCAACTCATTTAACTAATTGTGTTGTGTCAAGTTGCAAGTTGACTTATTTATTTTTGTGTCGTGTTCGTTTCATATTTATGTTAACTCACGTAAACGTTGAATAAAAAATTTAACGCTACTATTGTATTTTCACTTAATTTAACTCATGTTAATATTTTTTCTATAAATTAAAAATTAATTTAAACAATAATAATAAGTAAAAATATCTTTTTTTATATAATAATTAGGTCAGTGTTTAATAAGTAGTTACAAATAATTAATATTTTATGTTTATAATACTAGTTAAATATGTTAATTTAGTGTCAATTTTGTGTTACCATACAAACAAGAAAATAGACAAAGTATTTATTTTTAAATAAACATGTTGATGTTGTCAATTTTGAGTTTGACGGATTGAACTGAATATGAACCTTTTATATTTCTTGTTTACTTATCAGATCATTTTCAAGTTCGTGTAATAAAATTTGTGTCGAGTTTGAATCATGTCATTGTGTTGATTCGAAAATTTTCACCGTTAACTAAGATAAAAAATTTTATTTTTTTAATTTTATTTTTTTAAAAAAAAAATTTAATATATATATATATAAATACATATTTTATATTTGTATTTTTGTATGAAATTAATGTATACATAATATATATGCATATATCAAAACATATATGAACAAATAATTAACTTTCTATCCACTTTCCTTCTGATTTTGGAATAAATGATTTTGATGAGTTGAAAGGAAAATTAATTCATCTACTTTTTCATCCCTTCCTATTTTTCTTCTTCACCAAATATGATATTTTATTTACTCCTCCAACTTTTTATTCTTCTAACTTTTTATCCTCCTATTTTTCCATCATATCAAACGAACTATTATATTTTTGTTTGTTTTAACGATTAAGGGTGTATAAGTTAGATTACACGCATCTCAATTAATTTTTTATCCGATTTGATTAAAGGCAAGTCATCTATGTCAAGATTATGGTATTCATGAAAAAAAAATCAATCATAGTTTGACTTTTAAAAATGGTCAAAATTCANTTTAGGAGGCTCACATGTATGTCAAGGAAATTCTGAGCAAACACAACCTTGGCCTATATTAAGCAATGATACTTGAACTTGATCCAATGTATTATAATCAATTGAAATAACGGTAGGTCTCACTATTTTTTGAGTCTATTATCCTCTGCTTGGTAGTAAGAATCAAAAGTAAAAAAAATACGCTTTCTAATATTCAAGGAAATAAAATAGAAATGATATATTTTATTTCTTTTGTATTTGGTACGATGGATGAAAAATAAAAATAATTAATTTTTTTTTTCTTAACTAAGATTAGGGGTAACAATTTAGTCGTATCGTGTCAGATTCGTGTTAAGTCATTATGAGTTTGTGTCGAACATTAGTCAAACTTAACTCAACTCATTTAACTAATTGTGTTGTGTCAAGTTGCAAGTTGACTTATTTATTTTTGTGTCGTGTTCGTTTCATATTTATGTTAACTCACGTAAACGTTGAATAAAAAATTTAACGCTACTATTGTATTTTCACTTAATTTAACTCATGTTAATATTTTTTCTACAAATTAAAAATTAATTTAAATAATAATAATAACAATAATAATAAGTAAAAATATCTTTTTTTATATAATAATTAGGTCAGTGTTTAATAAGTAGTTACAAATAATTAATATTTTATGTTTATAATACTAGTTAAATATGTTAATTTAGTGTCAATTTTGTGTTACCATACAAACAAGAAAATAGACAAAGTATTTATTTTTAAATAAACAGGTTGATGTTGTCAATTTTGAGTTTGACGGATTGAACTGAATATGAACCTTTTATATTTCTTGTTTACGTATTAGATCATTTTCAAGTTCGTGTAATAAAATTTGTGTCGAATTTGAATCATGTCATTGTGTTGATTCGAAAATTTTCACCGTTAACTAAGATAAAAAATTTTATTTTTTTATTTTTATTTTTTTTTTAAAAAAAATAATATATATATATATAAATACATATTTTATATTTGTATTTTTGTATGAAATTAATGTATACATAATATATATGCATATATCAAAACATATATGAACAAATAATTAACTTTCTATCCACTTTCCTTCTGATTTTGGAATGAATGATTTTGATGAGTTGAAAGGAAAATTAATTCATCTACTTTTTCATCCCTTCCTATTTTTCTTCTTCACCAAATATAATATTTTATTTACTCCTCCAACTTTTTATTCTTCTAACTTTTTATCCTCCTATTTTTCCATCATATCAAACGAACTATTATATTTTTGTTTGTTTTAACGGTTAAGGGTGTATAAGTTAGATTACACGTATCTCAATTAATTTTTTATCCGATCTGATTAAAGGCAAGTCATCTATGTCAAGATTATGGTATTCATGAAAAAAAAATCAATAATAGTTTGACTTTTAAAAATGGTCAAAATTCGAATTTAAGGCATTTAAGTTTACAGTTCGTTCATGAGTCCACTATTAATTGATGTATTAAGTTAATAAATTACGTCTAAAATAATATTTTTGTAATGATATTATAATGAGACGAAAAGAAAATAATCAATTGCTCTTGGTCATCTGAATGTGAAGTATTTCTTTAGATGGTAATTGTTTGCTAAACCAGTTTCTGAGGTTCGGTAATGATATAAGTTAGCCCATCTACAAGCCCAAGGAAATCGGGCTTTGAATAGTCAATAAATTGGGCTTCAGCCAGCTTGGTTCAGACTAGCCAGGCTTATGGTGTACCCGAGGGCCAGTCCTAGAAGGCCCCTAACGGGTCATCCAACAGCCCGGGCCTAATGAGCATTAAACTGTCCATCAACAACCCTTTTTATTTTCTTTCTCAAACATAACATATCTTTTCACGAAACAAGAATATAAAAACTTGCGTAAAAACACTTGAAATTTGGGAAGAAAAAGACTTCATATTGTAGTTATCGGACTTCCTTCAATGTCCAAATGTGTCATGATCAATTATAAGTGACATCACCTATCAATAATAATAAATCATATAGGGTAAGTGAATTCCACTATTCTAATATGTTAGTTACTCAACATAATCGTAATTAGAAACAATAAGATTTGAGCAATGATACTTAGATCTAATTTATTAACGGATAACTCACGGTCATTAGATTAATAGTGGATCATAGTATTTGTTGGGACCCGTTATCAATTCAATAGTTGTGATGTATTAGGTTAACAAATTATGTCAATAAATTAGATTTTAATAATATTATCGACTACACACATATGATATACTATTATCTATATAATAAAGAAGCTTACAATTTAAATTTTAAAATATAAATAAAATGACTTTTGTCATTCGCGGTTGAGATCGCTTTAAATTTTATTTTAAAGTTAATTTAACGGTTAATATTAAAATTTCAAATTTAATAGAAAAAAATAGGCCGCTAAGAGTGTCTTTCGAGTAATTTTTTAAAAGTGTTTTTAAAAATTATTTCTCATAAATACTTTAAAAAAAAAATATTGTTTTGAATCGCACTACCACTACCATCGCCGCCGCCGCTGCCACCACCACACCACCTCCACTTTCACCACCATCGTAGCCGTCACCACCGCCATCGTTGTTGCAGTCGTTGTCGCCGTCGCCGCCACCATTGTTGCCGTCGCCACCACCACCATCATCGTCGTCGCCACTACCACCATCACCACCACTGCCATCACAACTATTATCGTCTCTTACCACCACCATTACTGCCCTCTATCTCTCACCTCCACTATAAATCGATATTTAAATTCTTTTATCTCTTTTCTATATTTGTTATTTAATTTTAGATATGAATACAAATATATTTATTGTTTATTATTTTTTATTATTATGTGTTTTCAGACACAAATAATAATTAATACTTAAAAAAAGGACCAAAGAAATGGTGCAGTGGACCCTCCATCATGCATGCTAAAACGGAGAAATCATTGAATATTTGGGAATTCGCCAATCAACGGTATGAATTTGGAATGGTTTGAAAATCCTAATAAAAATTGTCACAATTACACTGGCCCATAGCCATCATGTTTGTCATAATTGTGGTCCCATATATGCCCTTATAAATTATAAGCATTTCTCTCTCTACTCTATTCTGAAGGGACAGATGAGAATGATACACAAACCAAAGTGAATTTCTTACAGCTTTCTATCAGAATATGTTTCATTGGATTTGGTTTTCATTGTGTGTGCTCAGGCACACTGATGTTCATGCCCTTTTCATGGCCTTGTTGATCCCGACCATCAAAGTTCATCAAAATTTGTACATCTACCTAAGGAAAAAACATTCATATGAAGCTATTGGCCAATCATAGTTGAAATTTTTTGATATTAGACTTGTATGGATACACAAGAACTACATTCAGACTATATCCTCTTGTCCAGTTGTCAGCTTATGCCCCAACATATCTCTGTTCTGAGAACTTTTTAGAGTGATAAGGCTGATTCAATCCTGCCTGTAAATACTGTGTGTGTGTGTGTGTGTGTGTGTGTGTGTGAGAGAGAGAGAGAGAGAGGGAGAGAGGAGGCTGGGGTGTGATTTGTTTGGGGAGGGGGCCTAGGGGTGGGCATAAGTCGCGCTTTCCCAGTCCACGCGTGAGATCTCAATACTTTCCAGTTTCAAAACCCAACGCTCTCTTAGTTGTGGTAATGAACCTTCATAGACCTATAAAAGTACNAATACTTTCCAGTTTCAAAACCCAACGCTCTCTTAGTTGTGGTAATGAACCTCCATAGACCTATAAAAGTATCACCACCCAATAACCAAGACGGTGTTCTCTTATATTTTACATGTAGAGAGAGAGAAAGAGAGCCCTTGTTGTCTTTCATTACTACAGCATTCTCTTCAACAACAGTAGTACTATCTCAACACTCAGAACCATGACTGTGAGTCTCTGTATATGTGTGTGTGTGTGTGGGTGTGGGTGGTGAAAATGATGAGATTTAACAATGTGGGTGTTTTGCAGGCTGTGGAGGTGAGAGTTCCAAACCTGGACTGTGAGGGATGTGCTGCAAAGCTGAGGAGAGCTCTTGTCAAACTCAAAGGTACACATTGCTGTTACATATTTTCTAGGGTGAGTGGTAATGTCGTCATATGCCAACGCAATATTTGGGTACCAAAGCAAACTGGAGGCAAAAATGCTTCCTCGTAATATGGAGAAAATTTTCGGTCTTTATAAGCGATCAGTAACATCACAATATTTGTTTATTAGATCCACAAGTTGATTTTTTCAAAAGAAAATTTCGACAATTTCCTAAGTCATAATAGTTGATTGAAAATATACAATATTTTACGGGTGATATTCGCCAAATAGTGTTTGATGAAAACGGAATATTTTTGCGCTAATATGGTTCCACGATCATCTTATTTTTCTTTGCTTTGCTGGGCTAAGTATATTTGGATGGATGAAAAAATTTTAGAATTATTATCTTTCGTCCCAAAGTTTGATTCTTAAAAGAGGCTCCAACTTACCAAATGTGTGTTATTTAGATGTGATTACTTGCATATATAGTTTTCCTTTTAGTCACAAGTCAAAAATATATGGTTTAGATGACTTTTCTATAGCATTGCTCATTTGTTATGGTGAAGGCACATTTCCTGTCTAGTGTATAGTCATAATTACATAAAAAACAGTGCCCCTCAAGGGCATGAGACTTCAGCCACTGTGGGTTTGGGATGGTCAAATAGCAGTCATAATTACATGCTCTTTATAATTCCATCTGGAAATATGGATGGACGGATGAAAAGATTTAGAGGTATTATCTTTGTTAGCAAGTTTGATTCCTAAAAAAGAAACCCCAACTTACCAAATACATGTCACTTGTAGGTGATTATTCACATATATAGTTTTCATTCTCTTTCTAAGTCAAAAGCTTATAGTTGAACCTCAAAGGTAGTTCAAGTTATAATAGGAATAAATTATAAATTCAGATATTTTGAGTTTCAATCTTGATAATTTTTAAAGTCAGAGTATGAGAGNGAGTAATTTTTTAAAAGTGTTTTTAAAAATTATTTCTCATAAATACTTTAAAAAAAAAATATTGTTTTGAATCGCACTACCACTACCATCGCCGCCGCCGCTGCCACCACCACACCACCTCCACTTTCACCACCATCGTAGCCGTCACCACCGCCATCGTTGTTGCAGTCGTTGTCGCCGTCGCCGCCACCATTGTTGCCGTCGCCACCACCACCATCATCGTCGTCGCCACTACCACCATCACCACCACTGCCATCACAACTATTATCGTCTCTTACCACCACCATTACTGCCCTCTATCTCTCACCTCCACTATAAATCGATATTTAAATTCTTTTATCTCTTTTCTATATTTGTTATTTAATTTTAGATATGAATACAAATATATTTATTGTTTATTATTTTTTATTATTATGTGTTTTCAGACACAAATAATAATTAATACTTAAAAAAAGGACCAAAGAAATGGTGCAGTGGACCCTCCATCATGCATGCTAAAACGGAGAAATCATTGAATATTTGGGAATTCGCCAATCAACGGTATGAATTTGGAATGGTTTGAAAATCCTAATAAAAATTGTCACAATTACACTGGCCCATAGCCATCATGTTTGTCATAATTGTGGTCCCATATATGCCCTTATAAATTATAAGCATTTCTCTCTCTACTCTATTCTGAAGGGACAGATGAGAATGATACACAAACCAAAGTGAATTTCTTACAGCTTTCTATCAGAATATGTTTCATTGGATTTGGTTTTCATTGTGTGTGCTCAGGCACACTGATGTTCATGCCCTTTTCATGGCCTTGTTGATCCCGACCATCAAAGTTCATCAAAATTTGTACATCTACCTAAGGAAAAAACATTCATATGAAGCTATTGGCCAATCATAGTTGAAATTTTTTGATATTAGACTTGTATGGATACACAAGAACTACATTCAGACTATATCCTCTTGTCCAGTTGTCAGCTTATGCCCCAACATATCTCTGTTCTGAGAACTTTTTAGAGTGATAAGGCTGATTCAATCCTGCCTGTAAATACTGTGTGTGTGTGTGTGNAACTGTAAATTCAGATATTTTGAGTTTCAATCTTGATAATTTTTAAAATCAGAGTATGAGAAATTTATCCCGAATACCCTAATTCAGGCATGAATGACTTATCTTTCACCGGATTAGAGAAAAAATTAATCGAGATGAATGTAAGTTAGTTAGACTGAACACCCCTGACTATTAATCAAGAAAAAAAGGTTCATGGTTCAAAAAACTATATATATACCCTTGTTTCTTATTATTTGCTTGTACCCATTTTCAAATTATAAATAGTTTTGGTATGAGATTTTCAGGAGTAGAGGAAATTGAAATTGAAATGGAGACTCAAAAAATTACAGTTAGAGGCTATGCTGTAGATGAAAAGAAGGTGCTAAAGGCTATAAAGCGCGCTGGAAAGGCAGCAGAGCCGTGGCCATATCCAGGCTACTCTCATTTCGCTTCATTTTACAAGTACCCCACCCACATTGTCAACCACTACTACGACACCTCGAGAAATGCAGCTCCGGCCACCATCCACTCCTTCTTCCATACTCCGGCAGTTTATTCCGTCGCCATCGCATCTGACGAGGCGGTTGCTTCCCTTTTTAGCGACGACAACCCACATGCATGCTCTATTATGTGATCATGGTTTTGGTCATATTTTAAGAAAAAGAGTGAGTGTTATTTTGTTGTTTTTCAACGGCTAGTGGGGTTGATTAATTTCCAGTGGGGTTGGTTAATTTCCATCATGGCTCTGGCCATACATTTTAATGTTGATGATAATTTATGGAATCATGTAGGTTTCCTTATCTTAGTATAGGGTTGAAATACTTTGAAAAATATTATAAAAAGTTCTTCAAGAGTAATTTGATCATGCTTGTATAGCTGGACTCCATTAATAATTTGTATCAATTGTACCAAACAGTTGATGATAATGCTTGTAAGTTGACAAAGTCCCACCTTCTAAGGTTATCTAATAATTTGTAGATAAGAATATCTCGAGTGTATAATTGCATGGACTCCTCAGTGAATAGATTTAGATCAGCTCACGATGACAACAAATAGTTGTCCTCGCTGTCTTATCCTGAGCCTTATGGTACAAAAGTCTATGTATATGTTGGGTGGTAGCAATTAAGAGCAAAAATGTTTCAAACCTTTATGCATGCATCCTGTACAAGTGCTTTGTACAAATTTAGGTTAGGCTGATTAGACATATCAAACCCATTTGAATTGCTCACATCACAGTAGTGTCGAGCATAGTCAAAGAGATTGAAGCGAAGTCATCAATTCAACCACTCTTATAATCACCTCAAAGACTGACCCTTTTTTTAAATGAACCGAAATATGATGTTATATTCATCAAAGAGATATGACTATCTCTCTAAGGTTCTTTAGTACACTCTTTCTCAANTGACCCCTTTTTTAAATGAACCGAAATATGATGTTATATTCATCAAAGAGATATGACTATCTCTCTAAGGTTCTTTAGTACACTCTTTCTCAAGTTTTTCATCGAACTTGAATTCAGGTAAAATTTATTGTAAATCAATGGATTTTTTTATCAACACACAATGCGTGATTTGCTGTAAAAAGAAAATAAGAAAAATTGTAATGAAGAAAAATTGAATACATATGCTCCACTAATAAATTCAATTGTCTGCTTTATTGCACCACTAAGTTTTATCTATCAATGCAATAGCTTCGGAGCAAGTTATTACGTAATTGTGGTGACCCACAAGAAGGATCATTTATATATTTAAGGATCTCCAACTACTATATATATAGGTGTAAAATTCGGTACCGTGGTCGTTGTCTATAATCTATCATGTNTAGTGTATAGTCATAATTACATAAAAAACAGTGCCCCTCAAGGGCATGAGACTTCAGCCACTGTGGGTTTGGGATGGTCAAATAGCAGTCATAATTACATGCTCTTTATAATTCCATCTGGAAATATGGATGGACGGATGAAACGATTTAGAGGTAGTATCTTTGTTAGCAAGTTTGATTCCTAAAAGAGAAACCCCAACTTACCAAATACATGTCACTTGTAGGTGATTATTCACATATATAGTTTTCATTCTCTTTTTAAGTCAAAAGCTTATAGTTGAACCTCAAAGGTAATTCAAGTTATAATAGGAATAAACTGTAAATTCAGATATTTTGAGTTTCAATCTTGATAATTTTTAAAATCAGAGTATGAGAANCAACTTGCCCACAAACTTTGTTTTTTCCCCAGATGGCCCCTCCCCATCCCATATTTATAGAGAGGGAGGGTTTGTTGGTGGGCGTTCGTGGCTAAAAGTAGGCCTCTTTTAGTATATTAAATTGAGTTTTTTTGGGTATGGGTATATTTTTTTAGATTTATTTGAGAGAAATTATATAGATAAGTATTTTATTCTGTTAAATTTAATTTTAACAAAATATCTTGTGATTAAATATAAAATTTAAGTGATATTAAATTTTTTTACTTATTTACTCTTCTTTAAATTATGCATAATTTTTATTATCTCTATCTCTCTTTATTACTCTCTCATGCTCTGTTTGGTACGATAGAAAAATGAAAAATAGAAAGAATGAAAAGTTTGAGAGATAGATAAAACGTCATATTTGGTAAAATAAGAAAATAGGAAAGATGAAAAAGTAGATAGATAAATTTTATTTCCAACTCACCAAAATCAATCTCTCTAAAATTGGAAGGAAATTGGATAGAAAGTTAATTATTTGTGTTAAAATATATTTTATTTGTTTGTATATCCTTTGATATATACATATATTATATATACATTAGTTTTATATATAAATACAATGATAAAATATATATTTATACCATTTTTTTTAAAAAAATTAAATATATATATATATATATATAATTTTTTTTTTCTATCTTATCAAGCCAAAAAAAAATTAATCATTTTTATTTTTCATCATTCATACCAAATATAAAGAAAAAAAAATATATCATTTTTACTTTCCTTCCTAGAATAATAGGTGTATCTCTCCTACTTTTCATNTATTTGTGTTAAAATATATTTTATTTGTTTGTATATCCTTTGATATATACATATATTATATATACATTAGTTTTATATATAAATACAATGATGAAATATATATTTATACCATTTTTTTAAAAAAAATTAAAATATATATATATATATAATTTTTTTTTCTATCTTATCAAGCCAAAAAAAAATTAATCATTTTTATTTTTCATCATTCATACCAAACATAAAGAAAAAAAAATATATCATTTTTACGCTCTTACTTTTCATCCTTCCTACCAAGAAGAGCATTATTATCTTTTCCGTATTTTCTCTTCATCTGTCTCTCTCTCTACGTTCCTCTCCTTATCTCTCCCTTATTTTCTCTCTCTATCTCCAATTGATAATTTATTTTCTTTTTAAATATGTAAAAATTTGATTTGATTTTTTTATCTCTCTCCCATATTTTTTTTCTCTCTGTCTCACTCTTTCCCCCTATTCNCCTTCCTACCAAGAAGAGCATTATTATCTTTTCCGTATTTTCTCTTCATCTGTCTCTCTCTCTACGTTCCTCTCCTTATCTCTCCCTTATTTTCTCTCTCTATCTCCAATTGATAATTTATTTTCTTTTTAAATATATAAAAATTTGATTTGATTTTTTTATCTCTCTCCCATATTTTTTTTTTCTCTGTCTCACTCTTTCCCCCTATTCTCTCACATTATTACTTTCTCTCTTTAATTTTTTTTCTTTTTATATCAACGTTACACCAACACAATTGCACTAATCAGTTATACCACACAGTTATAATTGCTCTACAATACACAAAATAATTATTCATGTGTTCTAATAAATCAAACAGTTACACCAAATAATTACATAAAATTATTACACCAACATTTTTTACCATTATACTAAATTGGGTTTATATAAATAATTAAATGACAAATTGGGTTGATATTATAATTTCGTGTAATTATTTGGTGTAATTGTTTACTTTATTATAACCAATTAGTAATTATTTCATATATTATAGGGTAATTNGGTTGATATTATAATTTCGTGTAATTATTTGGTATAATTGTTTACTTTATTATAACCCATTAGTAATTGTTTCATATATTATAGGGTAATAATTAATTGGTATAATTGGTTGATGTAAGTGTATTGCTATAACGTTGATATAATGAGAGAGAGAATAATGATGAGATAAAATATGAGGGAGTGAGTGAGAGAGAGATAAAAAAAATTAAATCAAATCTTTACATATTTGAAAAACAAATAAATTATTAATATGAGAGAAAAAAAAATAGGGAAAAGAGAATGATAAAGTAATGGGGAAAAAGAGAGAATAATGGAGTAATAAATGACATTTTAGTCTTTTTTAAAAAATATATATATATTTAAGGTCAAATAAGTTTCTTCAACGTAGTTTAACTCAATTAAGTCTAATTTTTTGTATNAAAATGCTATTTGTCCTTTTTTTTAATTACAAGTTATGAATCCGATTAGAACATTTTCTTTAATGAGAATGTAGCCTGAATCAACTTCTGGATCATCTATAATGCTCCGTTTTGTATGATGAAAAAATAAAATGATGAAAAGTTGGAAGGATGAAAAATTAGAGTGATAAATAAAACATCATATTTGGTAAGAAAAAAAAATAAGAACGGTGGAAAAATGAATGGATTAACTTTCCTTCCAACTCACCAAAAACAATCCCTCCAAAATCAGAAAGAAAGTAGATGGAAAGTTAATTATTTGTGTTCAAGTGNTTATTATAACCAATTAGTAATTATTTCATATATTATAGGGTAATTATAATTAATTGGTATAATTGGTTGATGTAAGTGTATTGCTATAACGTTGATATAATGAGAGAGAGAATAATGATGAGATAAAATATGAGGGAGTGAGTGAGAGAGAGATAAAAAAAATTAAATCAAATTTTTACATATTTGAAAAACAAATAAATTATTAATATGAGAGAAAAAAAAATAGGGAAAAGAGAATGATAAAGTAATGGGGAAAGAGAGAGAATAATGGAGTAATAAATGACATTTTAGTCTTTTTTTAAAAAAATATATATATTTAAGGTCAAATAAGTTTCCTCAACGTAGTTTAACTCAATTAAGTCTAATTTTTTGTACCAACTTTCAAATTCTCTAATTAAATTTTGTTTCAAATCAAATCCACTTAGTCAAACATAGATAATTCAAATATAGACTGTGAGAATAGAATTCGTTTAATATATCAAAGTTGAATTCAAAAAGAATAAAATTTAATGCGGATCTAATACGTTTCATACGACTAGTGGAACCATGTGNTATATATATATATATATATATATATATATATATATATTGAAAATAAAAAAATTAAAATTAAAATTAAAAAAGATATTTTTTTCATCTTTAACTAGGGGTGAAAATTTTTGCCTCGAACTTGATATTAATTTTACGACACGAACTTAATTATAATTCGACACGAACTTAAAAATGATCTGACACGCGAACAACAAATATAAAAGACTCATAATTTTATGACTTAATACGAATCTGACACGACACAACTTGATTGTCACCCCTAATCTAAGCTAGCACAAAAAAAAAATTAGTTATTTTTATTTTTCATCTATTCAATCAAATACAAAATAAAAAAAAATGTATCATTTCTATTTTTCNGCAACTGGTATTTTTTTTTGGGGGGCAAATAGCATTTTGCACCTCAAAAGATTAAACAAGTTTCAAATTGCATCCTTAAAGATCAATTGTTTTGAATTGCACATTCAATTAATTTAATTAGTAGCAATATGACCTCAATCATAATGCTCGTTGTGGTTTTCATCAAATTATTAGCCACGTTTAATGCACGCAATTAGGAATGTTAATCGAGTCGAACTTTATGAGTTTGAGTCTGAGCTTGTCGAACTTTTTTATTTAAAAGAGTCAAAAAAATTGTTCAATCTTTGACTTGTTTAGAACCCAAGTCGAGTTTTAATAACTCAACTATTTTACATATAAATAAATCGAACATTACGAACGCAAGTTAAGCCTTTTAGGTTTATTTTTTTAAATGATCTTAAAAATTTATTCACGCTTAACTCATTTAGAACACGAGTCGAGTCCGAATCGACCTGAGCTCGAATAGTTTGTTTCGATTAACACTCCTATACGTGATGACTTTTGTCGAATTATGGCGCTTCTCCTTTTCACATGTCTGTCAATCCAATAAAAATCATCTTGGATGTTATGGCTGGGATTTCAATTTTCGTCAAGTTGACAGCCACTTGAAATTCACACGATGACTCTTGTCAAACTATGACCCTTCCTTTTTTAATGTACGTCTCACGTGACTGTTAATTTGATAAAAATTATAACGGGCGTTTATAATTGAAGTTACATTGCTATCAATTAATTTAATTGAGTGTGCAATTTAAAATAATTGATCTATAAGAGTATAAATTGAATTTTTTTTAATCTTTTAAGATACAAAATGCTATTTGTCCTTTTTTTTAATTACAAGTTATGAATCCGATTAGAACATTTTCTTTAATGAGAATGTAGCCTGAATCAACTTCTGGATCATCTATAATGCTCCGTTTTGTATGATGAAAAAATAAAATGATGAAAAGTTGGAAGGATGAAAAATTAGAGTGATAAATAAAACATCATATTTGGTAAGAAAAAAAAATAAGAACGGTGGAAAAATGAATGGATTAACTTTCCTTCCAACTCACCAAAAATAATCCCTCCAAAATCAGAAAGAAAGTAGATGAAAAATTAATTATTTGTGTTCAAGTGTATCTTATTTGTCAAGATATCTTTTAATATATACATATATTATGTATACATTAATTTCATATAAAAATATAATGATAAAATATGTATATATATATATATATTGAAAATAAAAAAATTAAAATTAAAATTAAAGAAAATATTTTTTCCATCTTTAACTAGGGGTGAAAATTTTTGCCTCGAACTCGACATTAATTTTACGACATGAACTTAATTATAATTCGACACGAACTTAAAAATGATCTGACAAGCGAACAACAAATATAAAAGACTCATAATTTTATGACTTAATACGAATTTGACACGACACAACTTGATTGTCACCCCTAATCTAAGCTAGCACAAAAAAAAAATTAGTTATTTTTATTTTTCATCTATTCAACCAAATACAAAATAAAAAAAAATGTATCATTTTTATTTTTCATAGTTGAATATTAGAAAATGTATTTCTTTGTACATTCTTTCTGCTTGTTATTTAAACGGAGCATAAGAGTTACGATCCGGCAAACTTCTATTCAAAGAAAAGCATCTTTTAGGTCTGCCATAATTCCACGTCACGCCTGACCCCTATAATATAAGACTCCAAATTCTCTCAGCTTCATTCGCTTTTTCTTCTCTGTTGTGCAAACGCTACATTATTGTCTTCCTCTTCAAATGGCACAGGTACTGTTCTCAGCATTTTCTGAGCATGTTTTCCACAAGAAATACACAAAATTTTGCAACTTTATCTATTTTGTTCTCTCTTTGAATTTGTTGGAATTTATGAGCAGAAGGTGGTATTAAAGGTCTTGACCATGACTGATGAGAGGACAAAGCAAAAAGCCATAGAAGCTGCTGCCGATATTTACGGTACCTCTTTCGATCGATCAGATCTTCTAGATTGTATTCTAAACCCAACCCCCCTCCCCCCACCCCAAAAACCCCAAGAAAATAAAAAAACTCAAGCCACCCACCATATAGAAACAGAAAAATTAACGACGTATTTGAATTACATTTTAAAAAACAGTACTTAAAAATAATTTTGAAAAGAGTTTTAAAAAAAAAATGTGTTTTGATGTTTCTGAGACGAAAACCTTGCTGGGTATGTTGATGAACAGGAGTCGATGCGATTGCTGCTGATCTGAAGGAGCAGAAACTAATCGTGATCGGAGAGATGGACACAGTTGCTATGGTGAAGAAGTTAAAGAAAGTTGCGAAGGTTGATATAATTTCAGTTGGGCCTGCTAAAGAAGAGAAGAAAGAAGAAAAGAAAGATGACAAGAAAGAGGACAAGAAAGAGGAAAAGAAAGAAGAAAAGAAGGAAGACAAGAAATAAAACATGAGCTTGCAGTTTACTACGTACTATGCTTAGGTTTTTCTTGATGAATGATCATATGCCACAATAGTACAAAATCATACTGTAATAAATCTTTGGAATTTCCGCCAAATCCTGCATTTTCACATAAATTTCAGCCTGGTTTTGTTGAAAATTTCAAAACAAGAAACTATGGATATATTTTTCAAAATTTTAGTATTTTTATTATCACGGGACAGTACTAATATGATATCATTGTTATATCAGCTGTTTTCTCGACCAGAATAGCTTAATTTGGGTTTCTTAATTGTGTCATAATACAATTGTTTGTTTGAAAAGATCAGCGGTATGGTCNTATATATATATATATATATATTGAAAATAAAAAAATTAAAATTAAAATTAAAAAAGATATTTTTTTCATCTTTAACTAGGGGTGAAAATTTTTGCCTCGAACTTGATATTAATTTTACGACACGAACTTAATTATAATTCGACACGAACTTAAAAATGATCTGACAAGCGAACAACAAATATAAAAGACTCATAATTTTATGACTTAATACGAATCTGACACGACACAACTTGATTGTCACCCCTAATCTAAGCTAGCACAAAAAAAAAATTAGTTATTTTTATTTTTCATCTATTCAATCAAATACAAAATAAAAAAAAATGTATCATTTCTATTTTTCGTTGAATATTAGAAAATGTATTTCTTTGTACATTCTTTCTGCTTGTTATTTAAACGGAGCATAAGAGTTACGATCCGGCAAACTTCTATTCAAAGAAAAGCATCTTTTAGGTCTGCCATAATTCCACGTCACGCCTGACCCCTATAATATAAGACTCCAAATTCTCTAAGCTTCATTCGCTTTTTCTTCTCTGTTGTGCAAAACGCTTCATTATTGTCTTCCTCTTCAAATGGCACAGGTACTGTTCTCAGCATTTTCTGAGCATGTTTTCCACAAGAAATACACAAAATTTTGCAACTTTATCTATTTTGTTCTCTCTTTGAATTTGTTGGAATTTATGAGCAGAAGGTGGTATTAAAGGTCTTGACCATGACTGATGAGAAGACAAAGCAAAAAGCCATAGAAGCTGCTGCCGATATTTACGGTACCTCTTTCGATCGATCAGATCTTCTAGATTGTATTCTAAACCCAACCCCCCTCCCCCCACCCCAAAAACCCCAAGAAAATAAAAAAACTCAAGCCACCCACCATATAGAAACAGAAAAATTAACGACGTATTTGAATTACATTTTAAAAAACAGTACTTAAAAATAATTTTGAAAAGAGTTTTAAAAAAAAAATGTGTTTTGATGTTTCTGAGACGAAAACCTTGCTGGGTATGTTGATGAACAGGAGTCGATGCGATTGCTGCTGATCTGAAGGAGCAGAAACTAATCGTGATCGGAGAGATGGACACAGTTGCTATGGTGAAGAAGTTAAAGAAAGTTGCGAAGGTTGATATAATTTCAGTTGGGCCTGCTAAAGAAGAGAAGAAAGAAGAAAAGAAAGATGACAAGAAAGAGGACAAGAAAGAGGAAAAGAAAGAAGAAAAGAAGGAAGACAAGAAATAAAACATGAGCTTGCAGTTTACTACGTACTATGCTTAGGTTTTTCTTGATGAATGATCATATGCCACAATAGTAAAAAATCATACTGTAATAAATCTTTGGAATTTCCGCCAAATCCTGCATTTTCACATAAATTTCAGCCTGGTANAAGAAGAAAAGAAAGATGACAAGAAAGAGGACAAGAAAGAGGAAAAGAAAGAAGAAAAGAAGGAAGACAAGAAATAAAACATGAGCTTGCAGTTTACTACGTACTATGCTTAGGTTTTTCTTGATGAATGATCATATGCCACAATAGTACAAAATCATACTGTAATAAATCTTTGGAATTTCCGCCAAATCCTGCATTTTCACATAAATTTCAGCCTGGTTTTGTTGAAAATTTCAAAACAAGAAACTATGGATATATTTTTCAAAATTTTAGTATTTTTATTATCACGGGACAGTACTAATATGATATCATTGTTATATCAGCTGTTTTCTCGACTAGAATAGCTTAATTTGGGTTTCTTAATTGTGTCATAATACAATTGTTTGTTTGAAAAGATCAGCGGTATANCCTGCATTTTCACATAAATTTCAGCCTGGTATTGTTGAAAATTTCAAAACAAGAAACTATGGATATATTTTTCAAAATTTTAGTATTTTTATTATCACGGGACAGTACTAATATGATATCATTGTTATATCAGCTGTTTTCTCGACCAGAATAGCTTAATTTGGGTTTCTTAATTGTGTCATAATACAATTGTTTGTTTGAAAAGATCAGCGGTATAGTCTTCTGTGCCACGCATAAAGCAGAAAAAACTTTGGCTGTCACGAGTTTCCTCTTTTCTATTTGTTTAGAGGTCTCTGTCCATCCAATGAATTAGTCTCACAAATGTTCAAAATGTAATCAAATTACAAATATTCAATGCTCTATTCTTCTACGACTCTTCGATGATCTGTAAGAGAAAGAGATGGCTTGTTTGAATACGACTTGTATGAACAAGAGCATGGAATCATGCTGTGTTCAACTCACCTAGATAACGTTCTAATCTGCAGTTCTTTGGCACACAGGAAACACAAAATCATGGGAGATGGAGGCTGTAACTCCTGTACCAGTCTCAGAGGTACCAATTTGCAATATGAACTGTTAACCCGATGAGAAGTCAACACTAGACGTTCAAAANAGTTCTTTGGCACACAGGAAACACAAAATCATGGGAGATGGAGGCTGTAACTCCTGTCCCAGTCTCAGAGGTACCAATTTGCAATATGAACTGTTAACCCGATGAGAAGTCAACACTAGACGTTCAAAAGAAATGGATATGCAGGGCATAAACAAATGGACCTGCTAACTGACACGTAACTGACTACACATCACTATAAATGAAATGGGTTTACATTTAGCAAATTTGGACACGATACATGGCTTAGAAACTCAACACAACCCAACATATTGATACCTTATCCATGGCTCAAAGTCGTTACGCAGAACTTCAAATCTAACCAACAATTGGTACTGACCTCTAAAGCAGCCACATATTGTGCCCAAGCTAAATTTTATGTTCTCCTGCATCAAGAGTCATGTAAAATTCAAGCGAATGTTGAAGTGACCGAGCATTACACTCTCTAGCCTTTTAATCCCAAAATTTTGAGCAGCACCTGGCTTTTTCCGTCCCAACATCCTTATCTTCAATGAAAAGGGGACAATTAGGGCTTGATGCTGTCATGCTAAAAAATAGAGCAAATAACAAAAATGCTACTTGAAATGGCAAATAATGCTTGTAAGCATCTGGTAGGAAGCCATTTTGAAAGCGTATTATGGGAAATATCATAATAATCGGCAGATAAAGACAAATAGAGAAACAGTCTGCTTGAAAGTTGAAACCTTGGCTAGCAGGAGCAAATAAGAAATAATACAAGGTCTGTATTAAGCATTTTTTTTTTCAAACCTTGTCCCTCTTATGGTTTTTGGGGTTGATGCTGTAGACAATATCACTAGTATTACAAAGCCACTATAATTTTACAACTATAAATAAGGAAAAGAATAGCATGGGAAGAAGAGGATACTGTCTTCCGAGTATTACTTCCCATACCCAGCTAACTAGCTAGCATAGGAAGAATATCATAGAATACCTTAGTCTCACCTAGCTAGCATTACCACACCCAGTCAGTTATTGGCATATGAATATCCTATGTTTTGTATATCGTTGGAAAAATTCAAAAAGATATGTCACTGATGAAGAAAATCCATCCAGAATGGTATTCTTTATTTCTTTCTATTTGTCACGTACACTCTATTATGAAGTAGGGGAACCAAAATTGTGCAAATTTTGGAAAAATTCTTGGGAACTTACTCAACATCCAGAACAAGCAGCAGTCACATCAAGTGGGCTGGATCATATGAGTAGTTTTGCTGTAATGTTACAATTGAATCAACTTAATTTTACATACTTTGCCACTTCAGCATCTCCTATACCCTTTAAACTTCGAAAGAAGATGGATGTACTGCCCTTTTTCCACCATATGTCTTATTACTTCATGAGCTTCAGAAAGCTTTCCAGCATTTCGCAGATAACCAACTAGGGTACTATACACAAGAAAATTTGGATTACAACCTCTGGATTCCATTTCTTTCAGCATCAAGCATGCCTCCTCAAACTTTCCCCCCATACAAAGCCCACGAATCATAGAATTGTATGTAAACACATTTGGCATTTGCCCTCGAGTGAACATCTCATAAAACATTCCCTGAGCCTTGTCAAACTCTCCTGCCACAATATATCCTGTGATCATAACAGTGTAACAAGCCACATCGGGCACGAACCCATGTTTGATCATCTCATCAAAAAAATACTTACAGGCATCCAAATTCCCGGCCCGACTGAGCCCATCTATCAACGTGGTGAAGTGAAGAACACTCAATTCAAAACCCTCCTCCTTCATGTGGTTCAAAAGATTAAGCGCTGCTAGAGGTTTGTCTCCTTTTCCAAGTACATGAAGAAGGATATTGAATGTATGAGCATCCGGTGAAAATCCATTCCTGCCCATTTCATCTAGTAATCTGTGGAACTGATCCAGCTTCCCCAGCCTATACTTAGCACACATAAGGATATTATAAGTTAAAACATCGGGGAAATGGCCTTCACCCAACATCTGTTGATACACCCACTCAATCAACTTGCATTGGTTGACCGCAAGAAGAGAATGTAGAATTGCATTATAAGAATGCTTGAATGGCCTATAATTAAATGTCTTCGACTTGATAAACCTTTCTACGACTTTCTTCGCTAAGCCCGCCTCACCACAAGTACATATCAATATGTTAAAGGAACGTGCAGTAGCTGGGAATCCTTTCTCAGTCATCTCATCAACTAATCTCCACATTGCCTTAAATTCCTCACAATCTGCAAAAATCTTCAGTATCAAATGGTATGAGCTTGTTGTGTGCCTGTAATTCTCTTGTTGCCCACACCAAATAAAGAACTTGTACCCCAACTTAGCACACCGATTCTTATTTGCATAATTTATTGTTTTCAAGATTCCAACAAGAACTTCTCTTACAAGAACACCCGAAACCCTTATTTGCAAATCATCTAAAGCCACTTTTGCATCAGACCCCGGACCATCCTGTTGAAGAATTTCAAGAACCCTTTTAGCATCAATCCTTGCATTCTCAATGAATTTCCATCTTGAAGAGAAATTTCCCAGGGTATGGCCTTCATAATTGCCATTTGTCCCCATAGAGCTAAATGACTCGTTTTTATTAGGCTTTCCATCTGAAACACAATCAATATTTGAACTTTTCCAAGTCTCATTCAAATAATCCTCATTGCCTCCAAACCTGCCATTGACGCCATTGCTATCGCAGCCACGGCTGCACAACGAACGAGAAATTCCACAAAAACACGAAAAGCTCTGAGCAACCCTTTGACCAATTAGAGCTAAAGAGTACATGGCAGGAGCATATCAAGAGGTGAGAAACACCCATTATCACCGTAATTCTAAAGTCTCCAACAAAGCTAAGAAACCTGCCAAGAGAAATTGATACTCACATACAGACAGCTGCAATTTATGCCGTACCATGAAGAATCCCATCAAAAACAAAAATTACGAGCCCACGCAAGCAATTTAACCATGTACAGAACATTCATTGAAGAGTGTTGTATCTTATCCCCTATTTGTATCTCAATTCCATCAAAAATCTCAAAAAGTTACTCAACCCAGATCGAACTGACACGCAGAGTTCTTCTCTTACTTGTTAGGGTTGAAATTAGGGTTTTGGAGTATGCAACAGGGATTGAGCATTTACCTGGTAATGGGGTTTTTAGTAGCGCGACGTTCGTCTTTTTCCCAAGCAGTGTTCAGATTTCTGCTTCAAATGTTTCGCTCTACTAAGAGATGAAGAAAAGGAGCTACTCGCAGAAGTAGGCAGTGCTTACCTCTGTGGGAGTGTTACGGTGAAGAGTTTGGGAGCCAAAAGGAATTTGAGAAACAGACTCCTCTATGGTAAATACCAGGACTTAACTGGAATGGGTNATCAAGCATGCCTCCTCAAACTTTCCCCCCATACAAAGCCCACGAATCATAGAATTGTATGTAAACACATTTGGCATTTGCCCTCGAGTGAACATCTCATAAAACATTCCCTGAGCCTTGTCAAACTCTCCTGCCACAATATATCCTGTGATCATAACAGTGTAACAAGCCACATCGGGCACGAACCCATGTTTGATCATCTCATCAAAAAAATACTTACAGGCATCCAAATTCCCGGCCCGACTGAGCCCATCTATCAACGTGGTGAAGTGAAGAACACTCAATTCAAAACCCTCCTCCTTCATGTGGTTCAAAAGATTAAGCGCTGCTAGAGGTTTGTCTCCTTTTCCAAGTACATGAAGAAGGATATTGAATGTATGAGCATCCGGTGAAAATCCATTCCTGCCCATTTCATCTAGTAATCTGTGGAACTGATCCAGCTTCCCCAGCCTATACTTAGCACACATAAGGATATTATAAGTTAAAACATCGGGGAAATGGCCTTCACCCAACATCTGTTGATACACCCACTCAATCAACTTGCATTGGTTGACCGCAAGAAGAGAATGTAGAATTGCATTATAAGAATGCTTGAATGGCCTATAATTAAATGTCTTCGACTTGATAAACCTTTCTACGACTTTCTTCGCTAAGCCCGCCTCACCACAAGTACATATCAATATGTTAAAGGAACGTGCAGTAGCTGGGAATCCTTTCTCAGTCATCTCATCAACTAATCTCCACATTGCCTTAAATTCCTCACAATCTGCAAAAATCTTCAGTATCAAATGGTATGAGCTTGTTGTGTGCCTGTAATTCTCTTGTTGCCCACACCAAATAAAGAACTTGTACCCCAACTTAGCACACCGATTCTTATTTGCATAATTTATTGTTTTCAAGATTCCAACAAGAACTTCTCTTACAAGAACACCCGAAACCCTTATTTGCAAATCATCTAAAGCCACTTTTGCATCAGACCCCGGACCATCCTGTTGAAGAATTTCAAGAACCCTTTTAGCATCAATCCTTGCATTCTCAATGAATTTCCATCTTGAAGAGAAATTTCCCAGGGTATGGCCTTCATAATTGCCATTTGTCCCCATAGAGCTAAATGACTCGTTTTTATTAGGCTTTCCATCTGAAACATAATCAATATTTGAACTTTTCCAAGTCTCATTCAAATAATCCTCATTGCCTCCAAACCTGCCATTGACGCCATTGCTATCGCAGCCACGGCTGCACAACGAACGAGAAATTCCACAAAAACACGAAAAGCTCTGAGCAACCCTTTGACCAATTAGAGCTAAAGAGTACATGGCAGGAGCATATCAAGAGGTGAGAAACACCCATTATCACCGTAATTCTAAAGTCTCCAACAAAGCTAAGAAACCTGCCAAGAGAAATTGAGACTCACATACAGACAGCTGCAATTTATGCCGTACCATGAAGAATCCCATCAAAAACAAAAATTACGAGCCCACGCAAGCAATTTAACCATGTACAGAACATTCATTGAAGAGTGTTGTATCTTATCCCCTATTTGTATCTCAATTCCATCAAAAATCTCAAAAAGTTACTCAACCCAGATCGAACTGACACGCAGAGTTCTTCTCTTACTTGTTAGGGTTGAAATTAGGGTTTTGGAGTATGCAACAGGGATTGAGCATTTACCTGGTAATGGGGTTTTTAGTAGCGCGACGTTCGTCTTTTTCCCAAGCAGTGTTCAGATTTCTGCTTCAAATGTTTCGCTCTACTAAGAGATGAAGAAAAGGAGCTACTCGCAGAAGTAGGCAGTGCTTACCTCTGTGGGAGTGTTACGGTGAAGAGTTTGGGAGCCAAAAGGAATTTGAGAAACAGACTCCTCTATGGTAAATACCAGGACTTAACTGGAATGGGTTGGGTTGGGCTGGGCCCGTCTTAACTGGCCTCTAGGCAATGGCTCACGACAGTCAGGACGAAGAGTCCTGAGTTCAGAGAAATTTGGCAAGTTAGAGGTGAGTGGGTTTTCTCTCCCTTCTACACTCGAATTAACGGGTTATACGAAAGTTATTGGGAAAATTATCTATATAATACAAGAGAATTGAGTTTGAATTTTAAAATTTATCTTGAGTGTTTCGCGATTCAAATTAATTCTGAACAAAAGATAAGTTTTATCGAAAGATCTATTTTATCTCAAATTTTTTGCGGTTTAAATTAACTCAAAAATAATGATTTGGCATATTAGATTGACCTGCAAATTTTATTTTCCTACTTAAGACACTTTCTATTTTTAATTGTCCCAAATTAATGCTCTTCTATTTACACATTCCATTCAGAGGCAAATCTCCTACCAAATCAAATAAATATCTTTTCCAAATTATGTCTACCTTAATTCATTCACTCTTTTTATGGTAACTAATATATTTTCTTTTGTATTTGAATATTTGTCTTTTGAATTATATAATGACAATTTAAATTCATTATTGATGAACAACAATAACACATTTGATTTTAACATTTCATGAAAGCTATTTTTTTCGTCTATGATTCTATCGAGTGAGTGAATGATTTTTTAATTTTTTTTTGTATTATATAACTTTAATTTACAGATTAATGTGAGCAATATAGAATTTTAATTTTTTCATACAAAGAGAAGGAGACATAATAATTTGAGTCTAGGGATTACTGGTTGTTAGATAATGAGTAAATAAGTTTAACTTATTCTAATTTTCTAAGTCAAGTAAAATATATCAAAAAATAAAAGAGTAAAATATTTCTGCTACTCCATTCAATTCTCCATGAAAACAAAGTTTTGCTAATTATTCCCGTGGAAGAGCATTTTAAAGAGGTTTATATTATGAAAGACCATGGCGTGAGTTATTTTTTTAAAATAAAAAATTGTACTTTTTATTATTTTCATTATGCAAATTGATATTATCTAACGGTTGTATTTTTAGAATTTTTTTTTAATAGTGGGTGTATATTGATTGATACTTTGTGTCATACATTGTTTTCAAGTGTAATTTTTTTTTAATAGTATCTTCAGGCACAGACAATAACTAGTTAATAAATATTATTTTTCTCCCTAAACATTCATTAAGTCCTATCATTTTTATTTTATATTAATGAAATCTTACTCTTGATAATTTGTTTAAATGAAGTCCTAAATTCCATAAATATTGTATTTGGTTCAAAGTCTATAATTCTGATGATAAATATTGACACCTACGGTATTGAGGTTATAACATTAGTCTTCATTTATTTATATGTATTTCGATTTATCGTGTTTTAAATTATATATTACCTTCTTACTAGTTTTATGAAAAATTCAATTATAAATAATTTATGGAATGGTAATTATGGGATGCAATAGAGGGTTTTAGACCTTATATATTCTTAGTGGAGAAGAGTTTCACACGAAAACTCTAGTGCTTAAGAATCGAGCATCCATGTATCTGTAAGAGTAACTTCAATAAAAACACAACATTATTTCTAAAATAAATAATAAATTAACTCAAATAAAAAAATGATGACAACTAATCCACTTNAATTTGTTTAAATGAAGTCCTAAATTCCATAAATATTGTATTTGGTTCAAAGTCTATAATTCTGATGATAAATATTGACACCTACGGTATTGAGGTTATAACATTAGTCTTCATTTATTTATATGTATTTCGATTTATCGTGTTTTAAATTATATATTACCTTCTTACTAGTTTTATGAAAAATTCAATTATAAATAATTTATGGAATGGTAATTATGGGATGCAATAGAGGGTTTTAGACCTTATATATTCTTAGTGGAGAAGAGTTTCACACGAAAACTCTAGTGCTTAAGAATCGAGCATCCATGTATATGTGAGAGTAACTTCAATAAAAACTCAACATTATTTCTAAAATAAATAATAAATTAACTCAAATTAAAAAATGATGACAACTAATCCACTTTTAAAAAAACATAACTTTAAGTTAAATAATAATTGATAGACAACGATGATGTATTTTTTAATTTTTAATAGTTTTTCAACGAGTGAAAAGTGAGAACGAAAAACCAAAAAAAAAATCAATTCATAATCTGCATTAAAAATAGAACGTCATTTTTGTTGACCAAAGGGAATAAATAAAAATTGAAAAATCCTATCGAAAGTGTGTCATCGGAATTGTGACATATTAGAAAGAATGAAAAGGTTAGAAAACTAAAAATTAAAGATAAAATTAGAACAAAATAGTATTAAAACTTCATTGAAATAAAACATTAAAATTAGGACTTTCATTGACGTAAAACAAAAATGATAGAACTCAACAAATATTTGTAAAAAAAAATAATACTTATTAATATTTTTCCGGAGTTATTCACAACCCATCCATACATAATATATATATTTTTGGTTCAACGGTTAAATCCAATTTATACGCATTTAAACTAATCCCCTCCACGTACATAATATCAAGTAACACCGGTCGATACATAATCCTATCATTTTATTGTGTCCAGTGACCAAGCATTCTAGTTAATTTTGTGCCAATAATATGTTATCTTTGACATATAATGGCGAATGTTTCAACCCAATACGCCCACCTAATCAAAATCCATGTCCTGCATAGTGTATGACTAGCTCAAGTCCAATTTTGAAATTTAGTTGAAGCGAACCTTGCAACATATCTCAATGTATTTCACAGAATACAAATACACTGTTATTTCGAAGCACATGCAAATCCAAGTTGGTCCATCACATTAACACGTACATATCAAACACAACACCACACAAAGATAACACAATCCTCTCAAGATCCCGGTAACTTTCAATCATTTGCTGGATTCCTCAAGTCTTCTTCCCTCCCCAACCTTGTCAGTAGCATTTCCTTCCCAGCATTGCCAGTAGCATTTCCTTCATTACCAAATACACACCCAGAACATTAAAATTAGTGAGGAAACACTACCTAAACAATATTATTTTAGACTATTTAAAGACCCATGAGTTCCAATATTAAAA